GTTTTTGTGTTGGTGTGATGCCGTTGACCATTGCAGGCTGGGATTCTCTCGCCTATCTGCAAACAACAAACCGCCAACTCGACTTGGACGGCATGGAACGGTGTCAAGTGCAGCTTCACGCAGCGTGAGGGACGCTACGAGGACACGTTCGCCACTCTTGCTCTCGTCGCGGGCGTCCCTCGCTCCCTGCACTCTAGGTGCATTCGTCTCTCGACGTACGCACGTGCGATTAATCGAACCTGCGATACATCCCGTTGAGCGTTTTTTGTAGCCGAGTCGGCGGGCGAGTACTGTGGCTGCGACGACGCGGCAGCTGTTGCATGCTTGACACGATTAATATAGGGCTGCAGTAGCAAGCGCATCGCTGCTTTCAGTCTGCAATGCCGCTCTCGTATACGTCAAGAAAGATCGGACGAGCATGGGTGGAAGACGTGTGATTGTGAATCGGCGACCACTTGCAAGCATGGGTGCATGTCATTTCTATATCGCCGACCGACAGAGTCATCCGTTGACGCCAGTGTGCTGGTGTGACGTGACCGGTTCGTGATAAAGAAGAGCGACCATGGTGGTGCCTTCAGAAATCGCAAACTGCACTGCAAAGCAACCCACCGTGCCGCAGCGGGTAGGGTTACACATTGCGTAGTTTCTACGACACGGCCACCGACGACAACCTGACGCTTCCCGCTTTACTAACAATTGGACGGTCACGTATTCGAAATGCATGGCGACGTGGGTACCATGAACGAGTCGACAGGCCCGAGACAAACCCATCGCAGTTGGAACCAATTCCAATGCAAAAAGACACTTGACAAATCTGCACCGTCGTACGACGACTAGAACGACTCGACTGGAACTCAGTTGACCGTCCACGACCGTAGCGTCGACGGCTTCAACCCACGGAATGGCAGGAACGTCGGACGAGATGGCCGACGCACGCATCCTGAGCCAAGTATCCACGTGCAAACCCTCTTTTTGTCGAAAAATACCATAGTGCAGCACCATAAAGTGCAACTCTACCCTCTTTTGTCACAATTTACGGGCCATGTTGACCTTTCCAAGGTGAAGTCGGGTGCAGTGCCCGTGGTGACCAGGGTGGGACGAGTCGAAAGCACCTCGAAGATGGATGCATCGGTTCAGGGCATGCGTGCGTATCTATTGCGCGGCCGCCGCACAGTACTCGGCCGCCACTTCTATGTGCCCAGTTCGCTGGGACACGGCGACGACAAGGAACCCTCTCCAGTCGTTCGGACGGCGGACGCGCTGTGGCACGGCAGCGTTGTGGCCGGCGACTGCGGCGGAGAATACGGTGGCGCCACCACACTTGGTCGAGCACATCTCGATGTCGGGCTTTGGAGGACGTTGGGGCGGTGTGCGCTTGGATGGCCTCCATTCGGGCTCGGCGTTTTTATGTAGACCGGCGCGCGTTGCACGCAACTTGACTTAGCGTACGAACGGGTGCATGCCACCTGCCATTTGTGGACGCCCCAGGTGCCGCCTCGTTCGTGAAGCTTCATTGCAGCGCGGCCGCCACGCGTCCTTCTCGGTCTTTCGTTGGCGGTGGGCCGGACGCGGGCCGACCGCGGCCGCAGCGTGGCGCGCGTTCGTGGGCCGGTGCACGGAGTGGCACCACCACGATGCGTGCACCATGTGGCGCTGCACCTACCACATTACTTGGCACAGCCAATTATCGGGCTTCAACGTCTTCAACCCATCGAAGGTTCTACAGTACGGTACCTCATCATCATCGCGAGAAATCGACACGAGAGAGGAGTGGCGCCAGGAGGCCATAGAACCGACACCTGCGACGGGCACACGACGCTGTTTGGCCCAGTTTGCATTTTGCCTCGCGACACCCAGCACCACCAAACGACGATGGACATTGCCCTCCTTCTCACGTCGGACGACGGGTCGAGCGACCACTCGGGCATCGTGCAGAGCCCGCGCGCCGGCATTTGGACGCTCGAGGAAGAGCGGTACTCGCTGGCGCTCATCGAGTGCTTTGCCCAAGGCTATTTGCCCGACATTATGCTCGGCACGTCGCTCCGCTGCTTCCTCGCCGACAAGCTCTACTGCTCGCCGATGCGCGTCTCCAAGAAGCTTGCGACCGGCCGCCTCGCCGGCGTCGCGCTCCCGGCCAAGCTCGGTCCGATCCGGTACGAAAACCAGCAAGTGGACCCGGTCCAGCAAGTCGTCAAGCTCGAGCAGCTCGCGGACGCCGAGCGCGCGTACGCCGAGCGCCTCGACGCCTACGACATCAAGTTTACGGACCCGACGGCGGTCATGGAGATGCAGACCAAGACGCAGGCGCCGTACCTCACGCGCGTCGGCCTTTGGAGCCGCACCGAGCAGCTCTACGCGTGGAAGCTCATCGAGTGTTTCATCAAGGGCTACATCACGCTGCCGGTGGGAACGCGCCTCCGGTCGTTCCTCGCCGAGCGCCTGCGCTGCAGCCCCATGCGTATCTCCAAGAAGCTCGCAACGGGCTCGATCGCCGGCATCCACCTGCCCAAGAAGCTCGGCACGATGGCCTACGCGCCGCCCAAGGTCCTCCACGACGGCAGTGACATGGACGGCAAGGTCGCGGCGCTCGCTGAGCTCCACCGGTTGCGCCAAGCGTGCTTTGGCTACAACTAGATGTATCCGTTGTCGTAGTGATCCTAACTTATTCCTCACTGGCGCCCACCCTATCTAATATACCCCGGCCAGTACGCCTCGACCAACCATTTTCCGCTTCCTGTCTCGAGCTTGCACCAAAGGTGCTGGGGTTGTGCATTCGCTGCCGCAGCAAACAGGCGCGTCCAGCAATGGATGTGTTGGTGCGTCAAGGGCGAGAGCAGCTCGAGGTGGCAAGGAACGGCTTGTCGCCACCGCCGCCGGAGAGGTACGCAAGGCAAGGAACGCGATGAGGGTACTGTAGTATTGCGCATCCTCAAGATAGCGTTGGTCGCCGAGCGATCGCGCGTCGGGAGTGCTATACAAGAAAGGAGGACGTGCTACTCTGACTCCACTTTGTCTTTTTTTAGCGCATCACATCATCACGAGAGGAGCTCACCGTGCGTGCGCTCTTCGCGTTGGCCGCTGCAGCCACTGGAGCCGCGCGCGAATGGTATTACACGCGATGCGTCGACAGGCTACGGTCCGTCGTCACAGTGGAATGGCTGGCAGGCGCGGGGGAATCGTGGAGCCATTTGCGTTCTCGAAATTTGCACGTTAAATGGTCTTTTCTCGTAGTCCGAGTCGGAAATCGAAGGCTAAACCATGTCATGGCGCGAATCACGTGGGTGCAGCGACTCATGGGTCAATAAAACTCATGGGTCAATAAACTTTTTTATTAACCCAACCTCGCGCAGCATCTCACAGGAAGGACGTCGAGCAGCTGCAATGAAGGACTTTCTTCTCAGTTTGCCACGTCGACCAGTAAGTCATGTGCAAAATGTGTGGAACGTGTGAAATGTGAAATGGGCTTCAACAATGAGATTGGCGGGAAAGTTGCCTTGTTCTTCCATAAATGTCATCATAAGCAAGCCAACGAGTGCGTCCACAACGGCTAAGCCCCCGCTGTCGTTTGTCGAAAACACCCACTGAATCAGACGCCTCGCACCCGATCGTTGGACATCAACATGGTCTCACGTGATTGACGACAGTTCCCGCGACCGAGGCGGTACGAGCGACTGACGCGCTGCAGAAATATCAGCCGCACCGAGCGCGACGTCGGTGAGTTTGTTTGGACGAAACGTACCGAAAAGTATGGGGGTGGCCGGCGCCAAGCTCGGTCGTGGCACCATTGTACAAAGGATAAGAAAACAACGACACAATTACCCGTGTGATACAATCTACCACCTGTTGCTACGATACACTACACACAATTTGTCGGCACCTCAATGAAGACACGCAAAACTCTGCTTGCGCAGCGTCGCCAACTGCGCCTGGGCCTCTTGCGCCAAGTACGCGAACGTCGCCATCGGGTACCGGTTCGGCATGTACGCTGTCGAGCCGAGACGCCGCGGCACATACCGTCCCAGAAGCATGCCCGACCCCAGTTTCTTGGAGACGCGCATCGGGCTGCAGTCGAGCTGGCCCGCCACGTAGGCCCGCAGCGTTGTGCCCGGCACCAAATCGAGGTATCCGTTCAAGAAGCAGCTAATGAGCTTCTGCAAGTACATTTCTTCTTTGAGCGGCCAGTGGCCGATGCGACTCGGCGACGTGGGCGACGTCGGGCGACGAGGCGAGAGTTGTCGACCCGAGGGATTCCGTGCCTCGCGCTTGTGCGCTTGGTCGAACGCGCGCTGGAGCAAGCGCAGCTTGTGGAGCACATGGACGCTATCAAGCGTGTTGTTGTGAGCGTAGCGCGACTTGCCGAGCTTCTTGACGACGGTTTTGCCGGCAAGCGTGCCCGAGGCCAGCTTCTTGGAGACGCGCATCGGGACACACTGTAGGTGCGACGCGAGGAAGCCCCGCAGCGTCGTGCCCGGCAGTAGGCTTGGAAAGGCGCCGAGGAGGAAGGCTTCAATGAGCGCCATCGTGTAGCGCTCCTCGACCCACGACCAAGCGCCGTTGCGGAGATCAGCGTGCGTGGTGGTGTTGTCATCATCGAAGTCGTCGATGCCGCGGTCGAGCGGTGCAAGGAGGCGTGCAATGTCCATGGCAAATTGAAGAGTGGGGTCCCAGCAAAACGATTTCACAATGTATCGCACTTGGTGACCTGCAGGCTCACGTACCGTAAAAGGTTTGTAAAATTAGTGATCAGCTACGGTTGCGACTGGGTAGTATGTGCGTAAGCGGTGCGTGATAGGGCTGTCGCCATGGTCTGATCAGGCAGTGTGCTTGGTAGTGAGAGTTGGCCTTGATCCCCGTATTGGCTATGAGGTGAAGTGTACGACCGTTGTTGAAACAGCACTCCGCGTGGTCACACGAATACCAAGGTGCCGTGCGGATGCTTGTCGTGCCGAAGCGTGGGTCAAACGACAGAAACGTTAAACAATGGTGCTGCTTGCCACCAGGTTGTCCGACACTGAGCTGCAAGGCGACGACGACGACCCTTGTTTATGGCTCTCTCTCATCCCCTGCGACTAAACTGGAATGAGTCGGTTTGCCTCCCGATGGAGAGGGCTTTGCGCCGAAGCGACGAGCGCACAGGTAGCTCGCAGCAAGATGACAATGAAATGCTTGGCTCTTCGTTATTGTCTGTGCGAGGACTAGCATGCTTGCATCCGCTCGGCTTATCAAAGTGGTTTGCTCACCGTGCAGGCCTTGGGGTCTGTCGTATTATCGATAGAGTAGCTATGCGGATTCTACAGAGGCTGAACTTGTCTGCACTGTTCTCCGCCTTTTAGCACTTGGCTTGGGTGTGCGACCAGGTGCTTCTCACACTGTCGCCACCCATCCCCGACAATCCTGGCATGAATCTCATCCTACAAAGATCATGAAGGTAGTCAGTCCCATCGCGACTGCTGCTGTGGTAGTCATCCCATTATTAAAGACGTCATTGTATTTCTGCGTCCAAGTTGACCGAGTGCTAGTAAACCGTGCGGTAAATCACTAGCTGCCACTTACGGATCGAGCTTCCGGTGATGTGTCGTGACGATCCCTGACGGTTACACGTAGGCCAACGGTTACTTGTTTAAGGACAGTTACACCCCAAGCTATATTGAAACTGTCAAAAATGAGTGGATGGCAAGGGCTGTCTCGCCAAGCACGGCGACGGAGAGCGTGCCTCGGGCACATCCCATGCGGCAGCTGCACGATGCCAGATAGATACCGGCATTAAATCAAATACGACAAAGACAAGCACAGGGCGCATGCAGAGATGGTGGCGCAACTTGGGCTCGAGCAAAACGCCCAAATGCACCTAGAACAGATGGTCCACAGGGCTCGGCTGGTTTTGATTGGCCAGAAATGCTAGCGATCGCCGCCAAGACGGCCCAGCCGCTTGCCCAAGACGTGCAGCGAAATTGTACATGTTCGGCAGAGAACTTGCACGAAGTCGACGACCAAGAAGCCACCGCCAAGGCCCAGCGTGCGTTTTGAGGTGAAATCTTGCATCGAGGGTGCGACAACGCATGCGAGCTTTGCAAAAGCTTCGATTTCGAACATTCGTGAAGCGACACAGCGAAGCAACTGGCGACTTGGCCGCATGGGACAATGAAACAAGTGCACTGGCGGGGTCAGTCAGTGCTTCGAATATTTCTCCAATCACAGTGCGATCAGGACCAGCTTTTAGCCAATCCCTGCTCGCAAGACCACAAAGACGCGTCACGATCACTTTCGCCGCCTCGTGCACAAGGTTGTTTCGCGCAAAGCAACTACGCTCAAAACACACGCAGTGTTTTGTGTTACCCTCGTTGTTGTAAATACGCCGCATGCATAGAGACTAGCTATTTCCTTCTTCATTTGCTCGCCAGGCGGCGTGCGGTGCATTTTGCTTTTCGGGGGCACTTGCGGCCACGGGAGACGCTCATGACGACAAGCTCCGAAAGGTCTGCCAGGCTTTGCGACCGGCGGCAGCGTTGGCAGGGACGTCGTTATCCAGGCGCAGCAGGCGCCAGCGCTGGCAGGCGACGAAAATCTCGCTCAGCGGGACGCTGTCGAAGCGCTTGTAGAGCGTTTGGGTGAAAGATACCTAGCAGACGACGCAGCTGCCGACGATGGAAACTGTCGAGGCCCGCGAGGCTTGTTCGCGTAGGGCAAAAGGACTGGGAGCTCGTAGCACTTGTACAGCCAACCGCATACGGGTGCCTTCCGAGATGAGGCCTCAGCGCATCCAGATCTTCCACATGTTGTAGAACGCCGCTGTCAGCAGTCGCTTCCGAGCGTGCAAACCGGCTGCGTCGTCAGACTACCGAGCTTCTTGGTTGCGTGCCACGCCAAGAAGGCGGTGTCCTTGATCCTGGTCACATGGGAGCGTCGTCGTGGCAGATGAAGGCCGAGTCGTCGGGTGTAGGAGACCGTGTTATCGAGGAGGTTGCTTGCCTCGCTGAGCGTCTGCCCGAAATTCTTGAGCGTGGCGTCGATGCATACAAGAAACTGCGCCAGCGACAACGAGTCGCCTTATGGCGTGCCTATGTTGGTCTCAAAAGGGCTGTGCGACTTGTCGTATAGCCGCAATTGGAGCGGGGCACTTCATCATCGTCGAGGATACCGCGGTTGATCGTGTCGAACTCGCGGGAGAAGTCGATTCCCAGCATCGTGAACTGCTCTTCATACTGGCGGATCTGGGCGCCCCTTGTGCGACCATACGACATACGACGTGCTTGGTCCAGGGCGGTAGCCGCTCTCGTGCGCGCCAATCAGCTTGTCAAGCTTCTTTTGGACGCGCGCGAGAACCATGACAGAGACGGCGTACGGATCGGACGGTGGCTCGAGTACACGCCTTGGGCTTGTTGGGCCCAGACAAGCAGATTTGCGTCCCTTGGCCGAGCTGGACTGGTTATCGTGTGATAAACCAACGTTGAGCAGCTTGGCGAATGGTGCAGCGACGAGGTTGTGCAGTGTTCAGAGAACGATACCAACAATTATGTAGACGCAGAGGGTGGACACAAGAGCGCGAAACGTGGCTTGGGAGCAGCGGAGGCTGTTGATGAACCACTGGCTGTAGCGAGGATCGCGAATCATGTCATTGAACTCGACCTCAAAATGGTTAGAATGCTGAACTTAGCTTCGCGCATGACGTCATGAGCCACAGCAAGCGCAGCTCCAGCACAGGCCACGTCTGCCACCCCCACCGACGCAAAACGACGCGTGCGGTCCATTCACAGTCCTTGAGTGCGTTGACTCGCAAATGTGCGTTCGCAAACCAGGCAAATTTGGTCCAGCTCCAGTACAGAGGCTACCGGATAAATTTTATCCGTACAGTTCGGCACCTGCATTTTTGAAAAAAGAGGCAACGCCAGTTGAAGGGAACGTTCGGAGACCAGCGTCTTAAGCTACATGAACATATATCCAATACCACACTATTATAATAACTACAGCACCTAATGCAGACACGCAAAACTCAGCTTGCGCAGCGTCGCCAACTGCGCCTGGGCCTCTTGCGCCAAATAGACAAACGCTGCCGTCGGGTGCCGGTTCGGCACGTATGCTGTTGAGCCAAGGCGTCGCGGTACATATTGTCCCTGAAGCATGCCCGACCCCAGCTTCTTGGACACGCGCATCGGGCTGCAGTCGAGCTGGTCTGCCA